AGCTGCATAACACAGATATTCTGCCTGCTGCAATTTTTTTTTTTTTAATTTGGTGGCACACTCTTGAAACTTCATAGATATGCTGTATTTGATGCCAGCTTTCATTGCCTTTAATATGAACTTTCTATTTGAAAACTTCCCTAGGTTATTAAAAAAACAACTGTAATTTTTTCGTGTGACAATGGAAAAGTTCGAAATTTCGGTAATTTTTCGTGAGACTTGCTCATATATGCACATTATTGGCGACCGACGATCTGTTACATCTGGGTAAGGCTTCCTCAAGTGGGCCCCGAATTTACCAAGATTAATATTTTTCAATGATATTCAGGCAGCGCCGAGTTTTGTAGTCAAAAAGTACTCTGTGTAAATTTTGTTGCAAAATTTCAAATAGTTTTTTTCTAATCAACAATTGAAAATTTTTGCGCTGTTTTGGAAATTTTTATTTTTCTTTGAAAGTAAGTGTCCGAATGACATTTTTTTTTGGGTGCAGACATAAAAAACATTAAACTATATATTCACTCAGAAAAAAAAAAATTCCTTGATGCTAGGAAAAAAGTATATCGAGCCCTAACCTCCAAAATAACGTAAGCGACATTTTTTTCAAAATTTTCTTTTTGATGCTGAAATGCATCTAGATGCTCTAGGAATATTTCTGCATCAAAAAGAAAGTTTAAAAAAAAATGTCGCTTACGTTATTTTGGCGGTTAGGGCTCGATATTATTCTAAGGAAATATTGCCTTGAAATGGCTCCAATGGCATGGCTGCCTTAATATGAGTAAACGATTTGACTCAGTTTAAGGAAAACACAATTCCTTAATTTTTAGGAAAAATTTACTTGCCACAATGTACTCTTCAACTACAAAACTCGGCGCTGACTGAATAACATTGAAAAATATTAATCTTGGTAAATTCGGGGCCCACTTGAGCAAGCCTTACTCATCTGTTTCCATTCCATTTGTGCTGGCTAGGTACAGGCAGCGGTACTCCAACTAAATTCATCGACAAAAGTCGTATATCACATTTTTACATTTATTGACTTGTTTAATAAATTGATTGCAATTTTGTAATCAATTAAATCTCTGTCATAGTTATTACTCGTGAATATAATTACCCTAACTCGTTCGTTAACTAAGTAGTCAACACGTGAAGTAATCATGCAAAAGCAGCAGATGCAATTGTGATTTGCATAGAAAACAATAAGCCAGTAGAAAATTCACAATTAAATGATTATAATGCTAAATAAAATTTAATTTTTTCTAACAAAGTAGGCAATGCAAAAATTCAAATTGAATTTATTACAATTCCATAGCTCTACTCATTACAACACAGCTAGCAGCGTAAAGGCGTCAGTTCAGTGATAAGCTGTGGTGAAATCTTAATTAAAACCAAATACTTTTGAAAGCTGCATCGCATTGGCTGCCTTTTGTTTTGGCAGCTCAGCTCTGTATATCTGCTTATGCCAAGAAATTTATTTGGTCTTTTCTCGTGATTTTGTTGTTTTTTGGTTTGCCGCTCAACCAGCTAAAAGCTAAAAATTAATTAGCAGCAAATACAGCTTGCTCTGTAGCACAAAAGCCATGTAAAGCACTGGCAAAAGCGTATGTATATAAAATTGTAGTCATTCATACATTTGTACTTGTGCATTCACATGCAGCTTTGCATTTTTTTCGTTTCAAATTAATTTTGGTTGGTTGCACAGCTTGAGCCAATGTATTCTTGCTTCTTTCATTTGGCTTTTCTAAGTGGGTGGTGGTTTTGCATTCATTCATAGCTTTTGTGAAGAAAGCGCATCTAAATGTAGTATGTGTGTACAAATTTCTATGTGCACTCACGATTTAACACGTCTTCTCCGGCTAATTTCCCAGCACCATTATTAGGTACCATCAGCACCATCATCATCGTCATCGTTTCCCCACTCATGCTTGCCTTCATCATTTTAATTTGTAAAATGCAGCGTTGACATGTGGCTGTCATGTCCATCCAGGCAACAAGCCATTCACTCAACTACCCACCCACCCAATTTCCTTTTCACCCATTCAAGTTGGCTACCACCACCTTAGCTAAAATCTACGTTACTGCTTACAGTACCAAGTTTATGTTTTTTCGTTTGTATATATGTACATACAGTCAGTCAATAAAGTTTAGGTACGCGAATTTTTTACTATACGGGGAAATATTGTTTTAATATTTTATTTTTCGATAATTTTTTATAAAAATATGGTTAATTCTACAACAAAAAAACCCAAAAATCAGAGTTCCAAATCTTGTGCAAAATTAAAGAAAATTCGGCAAAATTTCATTCAAATATTGCACTTTTTATTTACGCTCTCTAGAAAAAAGTTGAGTATGCAGTTTTTTAGCCCATTGAATTTTAATATAACAAAGTGCAAGTTTGAGGTGGCTAGGACTTACCATTGCCCGTATTGTAAAAATTTCGCTGTACCTAAACTTTATTGACTGACTGTATGTATGTATGTATTTAAGTCAGCCTATCAGTCAGCCAGTGTGCATTACATACATGCATGTAAATAAATCTGTATGAGTGTATGTACGTACTTTCAAATGCAGCAACAATCATTTGTCAGTTGCACTTGACGTTCTTTTGAAATCGACGCCGACAACATATTCACATTTGTAGGATTATTTTTTTCATAAAACATTCAAACATAAGTACATATATACTTACATATGTATATGTGTGACAGCATACATTTTCGTACAATTAGATCTATACTATAAGTACCCATAGATATCTTTTGTCTGGCCATGTGTCCGTATCATAATCATCATCGACATTGGGAATGCATGGAGCGAGAACTGATAAGATTCTAATTACAGAAAAACGTGACTGGAAATATGTAGTAATATACCTAAATACATACATATGTATATATCCATAAAATTTGCAAATGTAAATTTGTTCCATGAATAGAAAACTCGGAGAAATGGTTGTATGTAGAACATTTTTTAATAGCGACGCGAGAATAACACAGTGCAACAAAATGAAAAAAGTGTTTAATCCCTAGGGTTGCATAGTATTTTTCTGTCAGGTTATTAAAAAGAAGATGGAACGTATTTTACCAAATACATATTTGTATCAGATTTTTTTTTTTTTTTAATTTTATGCAACCTTAAAGTTTACAGTTCTCATTTTACATAGATGGAATTCTGAGGTACTTACTAAGAAAAAAGCTATATCTGAAATCATCCAAAACTATTTTAGATATTTAAAACTCTTATATTTAAATGTCGCTTATGGCTATACCTTTAATTTGAGCTATAGAAGTTGAAAATCCGCTTAATAGTTTTTATTTTTAAGCAAATATTTAAAAAAAATATTCCTATACTGGTGGCAAAAATAATAGACTCGCCTTATTATGACCAGTTTTGGCTATATGTCTTTGGTTTATTTAATGTTTAATATTTTTTATAAAAGCCTAGCGAGTTTTACAACAAACACCATATAAGTTCACATTTCAAACTTTGTACAAAAATTCAAGGAATTTTCACCAAAATTTTAAACTTTTCTTCAGAATTTTAAGAAAATTTTTTAGTATGATAAATTGTAAGTTTGATGTAGTTACAAAATACCGTTGATTTTTAATAATTTTTTCGCTGACATGGTTTTTGCCTTAATTCCTCAGAATTTCATATAAAATGAGGTGGCATAAAATGGCTGTCAGAAAAATACTATGAGACCCTCGGGATGAGATTTTTTTCATTTTGTTGCACCGTGCCACTGGACATGTGCAAATTTTAATGAGACATTCAGTAGATTGGGAGTTACCTACACTTGCCATTCAAGGGTATCTAAGGAAATAACGTCAATAAGAAGTAATATTAGAGAGTGATTTTTTCAGAAACTTTAAAAAGGTGCAAATCCATAATCATAACTATATACCCATGTCCATATTTATATCCAAACCTGTAATATTCATACCCATACCGCACACACAGAAGCACAACCATGTCCATATGCATACAAATAGCTACATATGTACATCCGCATCCCTTTTCATATCCATATGCTTATTCATCTAAATTTATACATATCCGTATCCATATCCATGTCCATATCCATAACCATGTCTATATGGATATCCATAGCCATATCCGTATTCATATTAATATTCACATCCATATTCATATCCATATCTTTACCCATATCTACATACTTATATCCATGTCCGTTTTCATATCCAAATTGATATCCATATTTATGTCCACAGCTATAACCATATACATATACATACTCACAATTATAACCACATCCGCATCCATATTCATATCAGTATCCTTCTCCATATCTACGTGTATCCTTATCCGTATCCATATTCATATTCATATCCGTATCCAAGTCCATTTGCATATCCATATCCATATTCATATCCATATCGCCATCAATATCCATATCCATATAAATATGTACATATCTATATCCATAGCCATATCAATATTCCAATTCATATCTATATATATATCCATATTCAAATCCAATCTACATCTAATCCATATCCTTATTTATATCCACATCCATATACATAAAAATCAATATCTAAGTAAATATTCATTATGGAATATTTCATTATGTACATATTCATATCTACAAGTATATCCACAATAAATAATTCGAGCTTTTGCAGTAGTTCTAACCAACTCGGCCTAATGCCCTTTTCCAAAATCCTTGAAAAGTTTGAAGTCCACTTCGGCAGCTGTCGGTATCTGTCGAATAGTTAAAGAAAAGTGTGATGAATGGTCCGTGGAGCCTGTAGAATCTACGATTTCAACACTGATAGAGAAAAAATTTAAATACTTAAAAACCTTCTGCAGTTCAAAAGCAGCGGGAACAGTGGGTCCTTGCATTGTTCGAACACTAAGCAATGTATGAGCTCTGAACATTTTTGTTTTGTTGTTTTTTTTTCTTATCTAGTCATTGTCGCCGTCTATTTAGTTGTCCATTATCCTATTAATAATATCTTCCCTATCTTCCTCCATTTCAGACGGGTTCAACCCTAACGCCCGAAATGTTGCTGACAACTTCCGAGTCATCGACGTACAGCGCCTCCGAGGTAGCTGGCCGTCTACAGGTCGACATACGCACCGGGCTCAAATGGACCGAGGCTAAATATCGTTCGAAAATTATCGGTCACAATGAGTTGAATGTGAATGAAGAAGAACCCACGTGGAAGAAATATATTGAACAGTTTAAGAATCCGCTTATACTGTTGCTGCTGGGAAGTGCGCTGGTTTCAGTGATAATGAAACAGTACGACGATGCTGTCAGCATAACGATAGCCATCATCATAGTGGTAACAGTCGCCTTCATACAAGAGTATCGCTCGGAGAAAAGCTTAGAGGAGTTGAAGAAGCTGGTGCCACCTGAGTGTCATTGCTTGCGCGAAGGACAACTCGATACGTTTTTGGCGCGTGAGCTAGTGCCCGGCGATGTAGTATATTTGAATGTGGGCGATCGCGTGCCCGCTGATGTTCGACTCTTTGAAGCGATTGATCTGTCGATTGATGAGTCTAGTTTCACAGGCGAAACGGAGCCGGGACGCAAGAGCACCGAACTCATATTGAGTAGCGCAACCAACAAAGATCACACAAATATGAAGAATGTCGCTTTCATGGGCACGCTGGTGCGTTGTGGCAATGGCAAGGGCATCGTAGTCAGCACTGGCGAGCGCAGCGAGTTCGGCGAGGTCTTCAAGATGATGCAAGCCGAGGAAGCGCCGAAGACGCCGCTGCAGAAATCTATGGACATACTCGGCGCACAATTGAGTTTCTATTCGTTCCTCATCATTGGTGTGATTATGCTGTTGGGCTGGCTACAAGGCAAACCACTAACCGAAATGTTCAATATCAGCGTTTCGCTTGCAGTAGCAGCCATACCCGAAGGCCTACCTATTGTGGTCACTGTGACGCTGGCACTCGGAGTGATGCGTATGGCCAAGCGAAATGCTATCGTCAAGAAATTGCCTACCGTGGAAACGCTCGGTTGCGTGAATGTCATTTGCTCGGACAAAACAGGTACTTTGACGAAAAACGAGATGACAGCAACAATCATCATCACATCCGACGGCTACATGGCCGACGTCACTGGCGCAGGCTACAACGACCAAGGCGAGATACACATACGCAATTGCAACAACGTCGAAATGGCCAAATCTAATATCACCAACTTGCTTGAAATAGGTGCGGTCTGCAACAATGCTTACATACAAAATGGCACGCTGCTCGGTCAGCCCACAGAGGGTGCACTCATCGCTGTTGCCATGAAGAATGGCATGTACGCCACGGCGGAAAATTATGTGCGCATACAGGAGTATCCTTTCTCCTCTGAGCAGAAAATGATGGCTGTCAAGTGCATACACAAATACAACAATAACAAGGAGGAAATTTTCTTTGCTAAAGGCGCATTGGAAATGCTTTTGCCACAATGTACGAAATACATGTTTGGCACGCAGACTGTGCCATTAACGAAGCAGAATGAGGCGGAATTCCTAGCGGAGGCATACGAAATCGGCCGAAAGGGTTTGCGTGTGTTGGCATTGGCCAAAGGACGCAGCCTACAGGATCTTATTTACTGTGGTCTTGTGGGCATCACCGATCCGCCGAGGCCGTTGGTGCGCGAATCCATTGAGATGTTGATGCAGAGCGGCGTACGCGTTAAGATGGTCACCGGCGATGCGCAGGAGACCGCTATGGCTATTGGTGAGTGGAGAATAAAAATATAAAATGATTGGTATTTATTATGTTAGTATTTTTATACATATGTATATCCATTCTTGCTGCACGAATTGTGAATTTCACGTGGTCCTTAACCGAAAAGCTTATCCGCTTTGACTTTGTCACATAGAAAAATTTCTTAAAAACATTGAAGTTTCTTTCACTTTCGCCTTTAAAAACTTTGCGTGCAACTCATGCAATTTGCGAACGTAGACATGCACGCTTTTGCGCCCAAAAGTATGTAAACAAATTTGCGTTGTTGAGTAAACTTTGATTTATCAGCAGCACTTGAGTCGACGAGACCGATCAGCCACATCGTTGTAAGCGACTGTAATGTCACCAAAATCATTAAAGCTACAGTAAACACTCTAACTACCATCCTTTCCCTATAATTGTTGAATTTCTTTTTGTGTTTTCATACCACTACAGATATATCTGCCGGAATTTCGTTCAACAAAATTGATATAGCCGAATTTGTAGACGATTATCTTCTGTCCGCTTCGAGCCTCGTACACTCAAGTGCATTTCATTTCGAAATGTGAACAATTTGGAATTTCTGCACATACCGCTTTTACAGTAATCGTTGTCGAGTAAATCACTTTAACCTCAATTTTTTCCATGCTGCAAGTGGTAGAAGGTGCCATTTAGCTTCAACTACAGTGAAGGCCACATCAGATTAAATGCATTTTTGTGTATTCGCTGCTGACACGCTGAAGCGGTTGGGTGTACCAACAAAATTAATTAACTATGTTGGCATGCGACTATGTAGGATGCAAATGTGAAATTCAAGGAGAAAGAATGTTGACCAAGATGTGTATGTGTAATACAATAGATAGATAGAGATCTGGGTTAAGGAACGTGCAGGTTTAGAGAAGTGAGGAATAAGAGGTGGTAGAGTAGCTGGCAATTTAGGAGAATTTCATAGTGAGGTGACTACCTAGCAGCGGAGGAAGTGATGAGTGAAACAGATTGCAGAACGGTATTAGAAGGACTAAATAGCATATTGTAGAGGGATGTTGGTAAGTAAGCGTTGTTTCTGGAATGGAAACTAGTACATGCGGAACATAATGTGAAAAATTCTTAGACGAAATGATTACACAAAGGGGGAGAGAAATAATATGCCAATGATCTGTTGAGAACCATTTGGTAAACATTTAAGTAAGTACTAGGAGTGCCAGTTACTGTGGAAATTCGACCGTGTTTCTAGTTTTGTATTAGAGACCTGGGGATGCTTTCAAAGATAGCACGTCGACAAAGTTATAAGGCACAAAATTACTCAAAATAAAATCTCCTGCTTGGGAACTAAAACGTCACTAAAAATTTCTATGTATTTTTTTAAATATTTTATTAGCATTAGAGTCTTAACGGGCAACAATTTTCCCATAACCAATGTTTGGACCTTCAGCTGAAGTATCTGAGATTTAGAGCCGCACTCTGTCAAATTAACGAAATCTACTGGCAGTAGTGTACAAATGTCTATGAGAAAATGCAGATCGTACAAAAAGCGGGAGTGATTGAAAAATGTGTACGCTGTAACGAAAATGGCAAAAGAGTGCCAAAATGAATACGGGGGATCAATTTTCGCAAGCCAATTGAAATGCCGGTTTAAACTTCACAATCTAAGAGGTTTTTATGCACCAACGTGTGGGTTATCACGGTCCACTACTGTTCTTGCGCTTAACACTTAGAAATTGTAAGTTTTCGACTTCATTGCAGCCTTAACCGATAACATCACAACGATGCTGGGCCTGAGTAGATCTGTCACTACCCACATGCCATGAAAGAAGGTTTGGGTATTGTGTGTCGGTTATCGAAGCGGAGGTTGTGACAAAAGAGAAAGTTGCGGATGAAATTCTTCAAAATTGTTACACTTTTGAGGTGGTTAGCACATATTTTGATAACTAGGCGGCAATCAGGTCATAATGATGATACATTCTAAAACGGCCATATAATGCCTGACTTCTCTTTCGATCTCATCATATTACGTGGCGCATTTGGTTTCCAGGCCATGGTGATATAGTAGTTATAGTGCATGGCCGATGATATAGCAAGGTCCTTCTGGTCACTGGTAGAACTACGCCCGTCTAAGGAGCTTCTAAAACTGAACAATCACATCTTGTTATTGGTGGGAGTTTTAAGAGGCCTTTGCCCAATCTCAATTCATGTAGGAGGGCCCAACATCACTTCACGCCCCTACTGTGGCAGTTGTATGAAGGATAATGAGAGGGATGCATTCCTAGATCTGCTAATAAGCTGTTCAGCTTTCGCGCGCTTAAATTTTCAACACCTTGACTCTCATTTATTTCTTATCGCATTTCGCTTTCGGGAAAGGGAATGCGCTTGTCGACCAGTTAGCTTAAGGTAAAGCTCACCGATGGCAAAGTCTACCTCGCCCATGGATTTTTACTTCGCTAGAGTCTAAATTTTTGTGTTAGGTTAGATTAGGTTGAAGCGGTTGCCTTCATCCAACGTAGGAGAAAGGTACACTTAGACCCAGTGGGGCCGTTTCGATACCAATTGAGAGCTCGAGTTCGAACCCGTCTGTTCACCTAGAAGTATTTAGAACCAGTTGGTTATGTTCAGAAAGCATAAGAATTCTTGAAATGAGCGTCTTCTCGCCCACATAAGAGCAGGCCAGTGACAGAGGTAGTGTTCCACACTCTCGATTTCGTCCACGTTGCGGCAACTACGGCAGAAGTCATTGCCCGGTAAACCCATTTTGCTAGCATGCCTTCCCATTAAGCAGTGGCCCGTAAGAATACCGGTCACCAGCCTTAGTAAAGGGCGTTATAACCGAACGAGTGCGTCGGATCTTTTCTTGTCGAGGCTGGGCTAGATTTGTCGAGTCGTTCAACACCTTGAATGTAGTACTGTAATGTAGGACTTTCCTACATTCTATCGCAGTTATTGACGAGGTCTCACAGCAATCCAGTGACTTGATGGCTGCTTGTTTAGCGGAGTATATACATAGTTAATGATGGCAGGTTAAGAGAAGATTCGATAAGCCAGAGTGCAAGCTATTTTATAGCCGCGAGTTCTGCTTGGAAGCAGAGGTCTAATGAGCGGGCCTTCGAGTGTATCCCACTCCCTACTCTTGGACTTAGTTTAGAGCCAACCATGTATATGGTGTGGAGCTATCTTTTGTATGAGCTTTTATTATCTTTATGTGGTTTTGAAATGAGAACATTGTCAGTTTGTGGCCACTTTGTAAATGAAAAATTGGTTAACCATGTAAATAGAATAAATAGCCAATGCTCAACCAAAGACAATCAAAAACGTATGTAACTAACTAGCCAGCTTACAAAAGCACGCTGCATACAGCTAGAGCAAAAGTAAGCTGCTACAATTGTTTGCGTAACCATTGTGACTTTGCTTAGTGACATAGCAAATGGAACATGAAATGTGCACGACTTTTGACTGGAGCAAGTCCCACTTGGCACAAAATGCAAATTAAGTCATAGCGGATTTTGTTAGTTCTAAAGTTTAAATTAACTGTAACCAAAAGTTTCGGTGCTTGCGCGCCCAAGTGCATGCTACGAAAATTTAATTCCATTGTTTACCGAAGACGCTGAGGGTATAAATGGCTATGGATGTAGTGGTATGGCAACAGCGTGGATGTCAGAAACATGCTGGTTGCTTGTGCTCAGTGTAGTCAAGCATAGATTTTCTTTTTTAAATCTATTTTTCGTGATTTCTTTTACATGCATTTCTGGTTCATTGATTTTTTATTGTTTGCTAGATTTGTACTTCTGCGCTTATCGCTTTGCTACCAGCGCATTTTATGCTCCTTTTTATACTCATCATTTTTCATATTTATCAGCGCGTCACTTAACTGTTCATCTAACATTTCCTATTCTTTTCTTCTTTTCTTTGCTTTGCTCGATTGTGGCGCGGGTTGATCGCTTTATTTGCTATAAAGCTGCCACAAGTGACTGGTCTCTACCACTATATGCGATGTGCTTTCCTCTGTTTTAGTTTTATTCCATCCTTATTGGTGACTGAATTAATTAACCGAAAGGGAGTCTGCCGCAAACTTCTCTTTGTAGCCGCAAGTAGTTATCAATCGTTACTGTCGACCACATACATACATACCTACATATGGACATGGTACCTACCATAACCAACAGACAAATCGTTTTCGTACGAGCCAACTAACTAAGGACACGAACATAGATTCAAGCTTACATGCTTCTTCTATGTTAACGTATGTATATTTACTTCTCCATAGACATACTCGTACCAAAGTACAAATGTACATATGTATGTTTGCTTGACTGTCGCCCAAGCGAAATGAATTATAGCATAGCATTAAACTTTAGCCTGACACTCGACTACATTTTCTCAATGTTCACAATGTTAGGTCGTCTAGTACTTAGACCACAAATCTACAAATACATATGCAAGTATGTATGTGCCTTAGACGTTCTTCTTCTTCGTTATCTGCCATGCTTGTCTTTCCTTGATTCTCCGATAGCCGGCTATATTTTCTCCATAGCTGAACTATCGCCCTACTAAGTATGTATCACCAGTTGTCTGCTATGTCTCGTTACTTACTCGCAGATTCCATAACAGCCTGTGTGTCTGCTGTTTAAATTTCTGAAATTCCATTTTGTCTTACCCATTCTCCTTTTTAAATGCATAAGCTGCAAATTGATTTTTAATTCATTTAAATTTTCGTTAATGCATTTTGTGGTACCGCTATTAATTTGTCTCTTGTCGCATTTAAAAGCTAAAATTTTTGTTGTTGCTATGTACTCAACATAAATGAATGATAATCCCGCATTATATTCGTGATTTGATAGCCTAAGTGCCTGCATATTTTTGCTGGCAGTTCCTTTGGAGTTTTTCGAATTGAAAACCACTAATTATGTTGATAATTTATTGCCAACGTAAACATCGATTGCCAATGTACTTAGTTGAAAAAAACAGAGCAATAGCAACTGAAATTGCTATTTTTGGCTTAATAAGTGCAAAGTCAGATAAGT